TGTTGTACACTCTGGGCTTGCTTGCCTGCAAACTTCCAGGCAATTCCTCTATGGCTGCCTCTTGTCTCATTTGGAGGGCTGGGATTACAGATGCATGCCACTGCATCTGGCTTTTTTGTTTTTTGTAGTTCCCAGTGATCACACTCAGGTGGTCAGGCTTGTGCTGTTATCCACTGAGTAATCTTGTCAGCTGAAAGTAGGTTTTTAACATGCTCACCATAAAAAATAAGTCTGTGAGGTAACTATGTATGTCAATTAGCTCAAAGTAGACACTCTACAATATATACATATTTCAAAACATGTTATCCATTATAAACACATATGAATTTTATTTGTTAGTTAGAGAGCTGAAAGATTTCCAGACACAACTCAATCATCTGTCCCTAAAGGCCACCTCTAATGGCCCCTCACCCAGTGCTCCAGATTCAGTGAGTGACTCTTCCCAACAAGCTCTTCTCTGGCTTCATAAGTCCAGAAGTGTGGGTGAATAGAATGAGTGCAAAAGAAGCTGCCTTCCCTGAAGGTAATAAAATGTCCTCAGATGAACGAGACTGCCTGGGAATCTGTCGGATTTGCATCTTGAGTTCATCACTTGTAACCTGGAAAGTGTTGAGCCTTTCTGGCACTCAAGTGGCCAGAAAGGAGAATGAAGAATGTTCTTAACTTTGAGTAAAATATCCTTTGCAAAGCATCTAAGAAGGAGCATAACCCAGTGCTGTGGGATGTCTTTCTGTATGCTGTGAATATGTGTTGCTTTGATTGGTTGATAAATAAAGCTGTTTGGCCAATGGCGAGGCAGAATAAGATTAGGCAGAATATTCAAACTGAAGAGACAGGATAAGAAAGGAGAGTGAGGAGGCAGATGCCAGCCTGCCGCCCAAGGAGCAATGAGATGCCAGCAGACCAGTAATGCCACAGCCACATAGCAACATATAGATTAATAGAAGTGGATTGAGTTAAGTTATAAGTTCTAGCTAACAAGAAGCCTGACCCACAGGCCATACAGTTTGTAAGTAATATAAGCCCTTGTGTGTTTACTTGGGACCAAGCAGCTGTTGGATGCAGGAGGGAGAGATCTGTCCCAACTGCAGGGCTGGGCAGGACTGGAAAAACTTCTGGCTATACCCCAGACTTGCCAGGCTATGGCTCCAGCATTCTGAGTCCTATGGTGATATTTTATTTGTGCTCTAATAAATAAAGCTTGCCTGGAGATCAGAGGAAAAGGCCAGTCACCACAGTACACATAGAAGTCAGGCAATGGTAGCACATGCCTTTAATCCTATCACTTGGGAGGCAGGGATCTGTCTGGATCTCTGTGAGTTCAAGGCCACAATGGGAACAGAGCCAGACAGTGGTGGCATAAGCCTTAAATTCCAACACTAGTTAACCATAAAGGTCTCGAGGTCAGTACAGACAGACAGTAAGTGACAGAGCTAGGTAGGAAGAGGAAGTGATGTAGCTGGACAGAGAGAGCAAATGAGATAGCAGAACAGAAATGCATATAGGCACGGGTATACAGGAAGTAAGTCTCTTTGGAAGCTGAGGTGTCAGTGAGGTTGGCTTGTGGCTTTTCCTATTCCTCTGATCACTCAGGATTTAACCCTGATATCTGGCTCCAGGTTTTTGTTTTTGTTTCCTATTTTCTTTCTTTCTTTTTTCAAGACAGGGTTTCTCTGTGTAGCTTTGGAGCCTGTTCTGTAGACCAGGCTGGCCTCAAACTCATAGAGATCTGCTTGGCTCTGCCTCCCGAGTGCTGGGATTAAAGGCATGTACCACCACTGCCTGGCTGGCTCCAAATTTTTTATTTAATAAGACCATTTGGCCATTCATCTACAGAGTACCATTTTATAGTTGGTCAAGACCCTGTCCTGATCGTGAACCCAGACCTAATTTTTCCCCTATCTCTATGCTCCTCCGAGCTGCTTAATTTGTCTTTACCAAGGGCAATTTAATGTGCCTTACTTAGAATCTCTCCAGTATTCCTGGCTTAGGAGAGATTGACCTCCCCATCTCTTCTATAGTCAGAGACTGAGTCTAATTCTTTACCTTGATGGTAGCCCTTTGAACATGAGAATGTGCTTATGGTTCACAAGTGTGTTTGAACTCCCAGACCTGGCATCAGAAAACCTAAGGTTTTTCCTCTTGCAGCTTGGTTCCAGCTGCTTGTCTCTTGCCTCCAGAATGCCGTTGTTATGACAAAGTTTGCCCTTATGTTAGTTAAACCTGGTAGAATAGTTCTGCACTCATGAACTCAGGCCTGGAATATATTTGCTTGTAATAGAAACTCAGTCCATTTTCAGTGTGCATATTTCTGGGTGTCTGGGAGGATACAATCTAAGACAGGAACTACTTACAGGCAAGTACTCCTTCTGGTTGAGTAGGAATTGCAGGTGCTCACAAACCTGCAGCGATAATTCATCTTACCATGAAAATCTCTGAAAATTCTGAGTCTTTCTAATCATGCACCCACGTTACAGTCTCACTTTCAACATTTTGCAAATCTGATGGTGTGAACTGGCATATCTCATTATTGTTTGAAATTTTATATTATTAGTAAGGGTGAACACTCTTATATTTGATTTCTGACCAATTATGTTTCCTGTTCTGTGAATTGTCTTTCAGATGTGCTGTGCCCTACTTCTGCATTGATTAAATAGGTATTCTTTATGTATATTCTGGATATATCAGAACCAAAACACATGTGTGTGTGTAGCTAGAGTTTTCCTGCTTTGCCCACAGTCAGGACAAATCTTTGTCACCCGCCAGACCCACAGCCACTCAGACCCAACCAAGTAAACACAGAGACTTATATAGCTTACAAACTGTATGGCCGTGGCAGGCTTCTTGCTAACTGTGCTTATAGCTTAAATTAATCCATTTCCGTAAATCTATACCTTGCCACGTGGCTGGTGGCTTACCGGCATCTTCACATGCTGCTGGTCATGGCAATGGCTGCAGTGTCTCTCTGCCTCCGCCTTCTGCTTCCCAGAATTCTCCTCTCTCCTTATCCCACCTACTTCCTGCCTGGCCACTGGCCAACCAGTGTTTTATTTATTGACCAATCAGAGCAATTTGACATATAGACCGTCCCACAACATGTGTGCTTGTATATTCTAGATTGATTTTTATCATTGCAATTTTTTCTGTATACTGTATTTTCATATGCCTTATTGGATCTTTGTAAGAGAGTGTTATGTTTAACAAGGTCAAATTCACCATGTTTTCCTTTATAGTTGTGACTTCTTGCATGATTCTCACTATTGGAGACTGTACACTTCTAATAACCAGTTGTCCCAGGCAATATGGGGGTGGGAATAAGTGGAAGATGATGCAGGGGAGAATTATGGCGGGAGTTTCCTTGGAGCGACTGTAAGTTCTCACTTCAACTTGTTATGGTGAAAGAGTTGTATACTCATAGCAAAACTGCAAGCCAATACATAGGGAAGGATGGAGCCAATACTCTGTTTTCTTTAGTAGTAACATCTTGCATAACTACAGTATGGTATCACCAAGATCAGTAGATTCATCTCCATTCAACCCACATAATTTATTCAGATTTTCTCACTCCCTGGTCCTTGCCCTCTTGGGCATCTGTATCTGCACAGTGAGTCCCGTGCAGCTGTGTCACTGGCATAGAATCCATCATCCACCTCTGCACTCAAATCACAGAGCTATTCCACGACCACAGGCCCTGGTGCTGGCCAGTGCTAACCTGTGATTGTGTTTCAAGTATCTCTGGACGTTGCTGCTAAGACAATTTTTTTTTTTTTAGTGACTTTAAAACAGTATATTTAACTTTAGTCTTTAAATACATCAACATTTTTCATATCTGTGAAATAGTATCAGGTTCCTTGGGGATGCTCAAATTTGTAAATCAAAAATTCTCTTTTTATAAAATGGTGTTTATTGACAGAACTGTCATATGTCCTTTAGACAGTCTGACATCTCTGGATGGTTTCTAATACATAGCACAGTGCATATGCTATGTAATAGTTTTTAAATGTATTTCTTAGAGAATGATAGCTAATATCCAAACAAACAACAAACTAACAAACAAAAGTGCTAAAAATATTCCAAGCCCCCATTGGATGAATCCCTGTGTACTGGTGAATTGTTCTGTCCTTGAAACACAATATTGATGCAGGCAGCTTCAGAAAGAAGAGGTTTATCTTGGCCCACAGCTTTACGGGTTGCAGTCCTTCGTGGTGGGGGAGACATGGCAGCTAGGACTCCATCTGTGGCATGCCATAGCTGTTATGTTACTTAACCACCGATGGGAAGCCGAGACATGGGGCCAGAAGTGAAGTTGTCCTAGAACTCTCAAGCCCTGCTCCTTAGGTCATTATGTCCAAAAGATTCTGCAGCTTCCCTGAGCAGCTCTGCTAGGCGGTGACCATGTGTTCAGACACAGATGTCTGTGAGGGACAATTCACACTTATGCCATAACCCCATGGACTTGGACATTGCTGATAGGGAGGGATGAAAATGTACACCAAGCAGGGTGGTGGTGGAGCACGCCTTTAATCCCAGCACTCGGGAAGCAGAGGCAGGCCGATCTCTGTGAGTTCGAGGCCAGCCTGGTCTCTAAAGCGAGTTCCAGGAAAGGTGCAAAGCTACACAGAGAAACCATATTTCGAACCCCCCCCCCAAAAAAAGAAGATCACACACACACACACACACACACACACACACACACACACACACACACACACAAAATGGTAGAAAAAGCACACTGAATACCAAACAGAATGAGCATGGACTATGGAATCTGGTGCTGCTGTGATTGCAACACTTCAGGGTAACCTCGAGTCACATTCTTAGCCTTGCTGATAAGGTGGAGGCAGTATTTGAATTATCATGCAGCAACTGCCACGAAGCTCCTGTGGAGAGAGAGGAAGACGCTGAAAAAGACTAATAAGAAAGAAGGAGTTGATGACGTTACCCAATTGGAACGCAGGGAGACAATGGCCAATGGGAGTGGAGAGACTCCAGGACACGTGGGTGGGGGAGCCGAGCGCTGTGACCAAGGGCCAAAGCTGGGAGATTGAAAAATGAAGACCACCAAGGCACTGCTCATTTCTGCAGTTCCAATGCGTTCCTGTACCAGGGGTCTACTCAGGCCTGTGTCTGCTTCCCTCTTGAGTAGACCAGAGGCCCCATCTAAACAGTCTTCCTGCAGCAGCTCCCCTCTCCAGGTGGCCAGACGGGAATTCCACCAGTGTTGTTTCTGGGACTTGGACACAGCCGCCAAGTTCAATGGTGCTGGGGCTGCCACAGTTGGTGTGGCTGGATCAGGGACTGGCATTGGAACTGTGTTTGGTAGCTTGATTATTGGCTATGCCAGGAACCCGTCTCTCAAGCAACAACTCTTCTCCTATGCCATTCTGGGCTTTGCCCTGTCTGAGGCCATGGGGCTCTTCTGTTTGGTGGTCGCCTTCCTCGTCCTCTTCACCATGTGAATCTCCGTGGGGTCACCCAGCAGTCCCTGCTGCTTCTACTCCATGCCAGTTCTGGTGCTGGAATGTGCTAAGCTTTACCATTGTACCCCGACCAGTATGTTTTATGAATGATACTTAGTATAATCAAGGCTTTCTCCCTCATGATGATGACACCAACCTTATCACTCTGATTTTCTTCCAAAGGAGTAGAAATGGCGTCTGTCTTGTCTCTCCCTGCCACCTCAGCTTATGGTGTACCCTATTTGGCAAATTCTTTAGTTCATTTATGTCTTCTTCCCTCAGTTTCCTCCAGAGTAGGAGTACCTGCCACAGAAGCATCCTAAGCCTGTCTCTGGAGCCTCACATCTCCTCTTTCTTTGGGTCTCACACATTTTCTGTTTCATCTGCAGTTTGCCAGAAAGCTGCTGGCCTTGGCTGCCTGGCTGGCTGAGAAAATTCTCCCTATGCCTGCGCTGACATGCTGGGTGCCCTTTTAAGAGGACTGTCACAGAGGCATGATGGCTTCTGATCCAGCATGGAAAGCTGAATGGGGAGAGTCCACCGCAGCCTTCCAGGGGAGAAGCTATTCTGGGAAACAACCACTCCAGTCATCTCATTAGCATAATCTCAGGAATTAATGGCTTGATTGATGTCCCAAGTTTCCCTGCAGTTTTCTATAAATGATAACGTATTAAAACGAGATGGAGGAAAGAAAACATGACACGACATATATTATTTAGGTGTTTGCAGAGAGGCTGACACACAAACACACACAATTTATCAACAGTCGTTTTTTGCATGGTGTTCTGAGCCTGGAGCCGCCAAGATGTGGAATTAATTTCATAGCAGGTGATTCTAGACTATTTCACATGGGCCATCTGTCGCTTCTTCATTTACCTCTCTGCTGTTACAATAATTAATCATTTCAGGCACAGGCTTGGCGCAGGAGGCTCTACCCTGGCTGGGAGCACAGCAAGAAGGAATAGCACCGAACCACTTGCTCTAAAGCAGCCTGTTTCTGTGAACCAAGGGTGTTCCCATTTTTTTTTTCTCACTTGCTTTTGTGTCTGACACCAGGGTCTCAGGAGTTGGAGGTGACTTCATAGAGTAGAGCTGCAACAATACATGCTGTTTTCATGCAGCAAAAGAGAGTTCGGGGAGGTTTCGTCAAATGCTTGACTTTACACAGCTAATAGGAGCGGGTGGGACAAACTCAGGTTTATCAAATCTTCAAGCCTTAGTTGTTTGTTAAGATTTGAACCTGAAACGTCCCCCACAGGCTCATATTTTGAGTGTGTGTTAGGTATTCTTTTTTTTTTTTTTTTTTTTTTTTTTTTTTTGCAAAGTACCTGAGAGAAGCAACTTAAAGAGGGATAATTTTGGCTCATGGTTTGCAGGTACAGTCCCTCATGGCAGGAAAGACATGGCTGTGGTAGGATGAGGCATATGACCACATCTTGTCATAGTCAGAAATGAGAGAGTGATGAATCGTGATGCTCAATTTGCTGTCTCTTTTCCCATCATTTTTTGTTCAGTTCAGGAGCTGAGACCGTGGGATGGTGCCATCCACATTCAGGGGCCATCTTCCCTTGTTAAAATCCCTAGTAATGGAGTAGAAGTGTGCCTCTTAGGTAATTTTAAATCCAGTTGTGATGGTTTGAATGAGCAGGGCCCCCATGGGCTTATCTATTTGAATGCTTGGTCCCCAGCTGGTAGAACTGTTTGAAGATTAGGAGGTGCAGCCTTGATGATGAAGGTGTCACGGGGGTAGGCTTTGAAGTTTCAAAAATTTATGCTATTCCTAGTTAGAGCCTCTCCCCACCTTTTGCTTATGGATCAGATGTCTGCTCTCAGCCACTGTGCCAATGTCATGACTACCTCTGTCTGCCTGCTGCCATGCTCCCCACCATGATGCTCATGAACTCTTCCTTTGGACCTGTAAACCATTTCTTCTATAAGTTGCCTCGGTCATGGTGCTTTGTTATAGCCTTGGAAAGGTAACAAAGACAGAGGCGAAGGTGAAAGTCAAGGTTAAACACTATACTTGGTCCCCAACTCATGGTGCTATTTTGAAGGCTGGGGAGCTTTAAGGAAGTAGGGCCTCACTGGTAGAGGTGCTTCACTAGGAGTGAGTGAGCCACTATTTCAGGTCTCATTCTCTCTGTGTCCTGGTTTATGCCATGTAAATGGCTGCCACCTCACATCCCTTCTGCCATAAGTGAGCCAATCCTATGGTCATGCTTTTCCACCATGAAAGATCGAAATCTCTCTGAAATCACAAGTCAACACAAACTTTTCATCTTTAAGACATTTTGTCCCATCAATGAAGAAAATCACAAATGCATCCTTTTAGTCTGAAGAAGGTCTCTAATAGAAGACATTTTGCTAGAAATAAGAGGACAATGCTGCAGATCATGCAAGTCTTTGACTTAATAGTCTAGAAGTCAAAACACTGTCAGGAAGGCATGTGAGTCATTGTTCTACTGTTCTTGTTGAAACAGTGGGAGGAAGAAAGTGCCAGGGTAGCTTCTTGACTGAGACACATTCATCTACTAGAATGTATTCATTTATTTATTAATGATACATACTTATCAACTGACTAATTGGTTTATGCCAGACATAGGGCCAAGTGCCAGAGACATTGTGGGAGAGTTCTTGCACTCATATGGCACTAGCGTTTTAGTAGGGAGCTGTGAAATGAATTGGAAGTGGACATTTCTTTCCTGCCTACCTGTTTCCAAATAACTGACATGTAGACTTAATATTAATTACAAATGCTCGGTCAATAGCTTGGACTTGTTAGTAGCTAACTCCTACATTTATGTTAACCCATATTTCTTATCTATGCTTTGCCACATGGTGGTACCTTTTTTTAACATGGCATGTTCATCTCCTGCTTCCTCTGTGTCTGGCTGGCAACTCTCTTACTCCACCCTTCTTCATCCCAACATCCTTAGTTTGGCCGCCCCACCTATACTTCCTGCCTGGCTACTGTCCCATCAGTGTTTTATTTAACCAGTTTGAGTGACAAATCTTTACAGTGTACAAGAGGATTATTCCACAGCAATGAATTGTTAAACAAACAGATAAAAGTTGGGATATGTGCTACATAAGAAACAATGAGAAGAGATGGAGGAAGATTGGCGGCTGCCCCCTGTTCCCCAGTCCATGTATGGACATGTGTGTAGATGGGATGGTCCAAGAGGAGGAGGCTATGTTATGATGTGGCTGTAAAATGTATCTTGTAGGCTTGTGTGTTTGAACAGTCAGTTCCAAACTAGTGGCATTGTTTTTGGAGGTTGTGGAACTTTTTGGCGTGAGACCTAGCTGGAGTGAGTGGACAGGCCTTATGGTTTGTAATCAGTCCCCAATTCTTGTCCCATTTCTGCTTCACAGTCATCCCAGATATGAACAAGGAGTTTCACACTCTGGCTAAAATGCCTTCCCTTCCATGATGAGTTACACCCACACACCATGAACCAAAATAAGCACGTGGTCTTTCAGTTGCCTCCTGTCAGTAATTTGGTCACAACAATGAGAAAAATAAGAAGTACAGACCAAATCTGAAATTGAATTGCAGGATGGAGCTGAGCATATCACAAGTAAGGGGAAGGGAGTCCTACACAGCGAGTCCTTTGTACAGCAAGGTCCTGGGCTTGAAAGACTTGCAGAGCAGAGATGATGTAGGCCAGTTGAACCTGGTCAGGAAGGGGCAAGAAAGAAACATGTGACATTGTTCCATACTTCCCTATGGGTCATGGTGCAGGGTTGACTGTGAATAACAGAAAACCACAGAAAAGCTTTAAGAGAAATGGATATGTGTTTTATCATTCCCATTTTCCAGATGCAGAAACTGAGATACAGAGAAATAGTAGGACCTCCCAAGGGCCATACACAGTTAGGTAGCAGAGTAGCTTCAACTTCTAAAGCCAATGTTCTAAGCCAGGGGTCAGCAAACCATGACCAAAGGGCCAACTCAAGCCTCCTTTCTGCTTTTTAAACATGGAATGCCATTGGGAGAGGTACATTCTGTGTTTGTCTGTTCCTGTATTGTGTGACTGCTTTCCTACACAAAGGAAGAACTGACTCCTTCTAATAGACAGTACATGGCTTGTCAGCCCCAAACACTCACTATCTTGGCCTTTCACAAAGCTTACTATCTCCTGCACTAGTCTCTGAATCTCAGGTAGGATGAGACTATGCCCACCTGCTCCTAGTGTCTCCCATGACCAACCCATGATTGGATATTTAGCTAGAATCCAATCTGCATCTACAAATGAATAAGGAACAGGAGGCATTGTACAAAGCACAGAAGTCAATGGGCCACAAATTGAATGGATAGGGTCAACTGGAGACAAGAGACATAAGTAGATGTGCACAGGGAATACTCACAGTGAATAAAGTGCCCCAGCTGGGCAGGAAAGCAGGGTGTGCAGAAGGTAGGAGCAGGTGTCACACTGGAGAACCCCTGGGGGTTGATTGAGAAGAGCCTTGAACGCCATCATCATTAAATGCTCAGGACCTTTAAGTGGCTGAGTTAGCAGTCAGAGAGGCACTGAAAGAGACCTGCTTTTCCAAGATGAAGATTGTAATTGGTTATTGATGTCCTATTTGTATGCTAATGCTGCTCAATAAAACAGCTAAACCATAATTAACGCTCCAGCTTCCTTTCAGGAAGGGGAAAAAAAAGATAGACGCCTGTGGAAAGGTCAATAGATTTCATATAGTAAATTATTAAATAATGGGAAACACAGGAAGTCAATTTCTGAACTATAATCTTTTCAAGTTTTATTAACTATCATTTGTTACAAGTGTCGACAGCATTTGCATTCTGCTTCTGCCATTTTCCTGAGAGCTCCAGAATTTTTGGATTGAGAGTCAGTGTTGAATGGCAGAATGTATTGTTTGTCAGAGTGCTGAAGCTTGAGAATGAAGAGTATTACCCGTCCTTATGTCAATGTTCAGTTAGATGGGACAATGGTACTTTGGCAGATGTTATACTCCATAGAAAATAGTGCGAGCCAGGCTATGCTGCCAGTTA